CCCTTAGGAGTCCAATTTATATACCTTATCCTTATTTTGTCTCTTTATCCAGTGATTTACTTTCACTTAAAATGGTTTCTTGGCTTTATAGTACTTCTCAAAACATAGTTGACTTAAAGCCACTGTAATGGAAAACAATTTGTTCACATTTGTGTTTGGTATCATTTATAAGAAATTTGGAAATATTTGACTTTTAGCTCAAAACAAACAGGATGGTGAGGTGCACAATTTTGGGCAAGGGGAGATTAAATTAAGAAAAAGCATTATTTAACCTTATTAGGCAGAAGTGGGGGGCCTTGGCATAGTGGTTCCATGTTGGGCTCCATCAGCTGCTCCTCCGGAGAAAGAGGGGGCTTTCAATTCCTGTAAAGTTAAGTCTGTAAACTCACAGGGGCCGTTCTACCTTGTCCTGTAGAGTGACTGTGAGTCACAAGGACTTGATGGCAGTGAGTTTGGTTTTAGTTTGTTTTGACTTGGAGCCAAAATCAGAAATAGGGACCTAGCAACAGAAGTCATAGCTAGAGCTGTGTATAACTAAATCACTAGTGTGGATAGGACTACAGGCTCAACCTCCATTATGACAAGTACATAATCTCCAAATATTGAGAACAACCAGCCCTCTTTATACAAACCACCCGTTAATCATGTGCCTGAGATTCCAGAACAGGATGACTGACAGAATTTTCCAGGTCAGGACTAACACACTAAACTTAGATGTGCACCTTTGCAGAGGAAACCTGTTTATACCAAAATCCGTAACTTATTTCTGCTCAATAGTTTTGTGCATTATAGATCTTTATTAGCCGTAGAATATTTTATACTTTGGGGGCTTATTTATAGAAGTTTCAGAAATACTACTTAAAAAAAAATCCACATGTATTTAACAGCTTTGCCATCCTTTCTTCAAAGACATCTTTTTTTTCTTATTATTCAATTGCTCTTGTATATAAAGCTCTTTCTTATATACATATGAGTGTCCGTGAATTTGTTTCTCTAGTCTACCCGCACTAACACAAAGGAGTATTTGTAAAAACAATTTCCATAACAACACTCCAACTGAACCCAAACTCAGTGTCAATTCTGACTCAAAGCGACCCTATAGGACAGGGTAGAACTGCTCCTGAGACTGCCACTCATTACAGAAATAGAGAGCCTCCTCTTTTTTTCCAAAGAGCAACTGGTGGCTTCGAACAGCTCACTTTTGCAGTTAGCAGCGCAATGCGTAACCACTAAACCACCAGGCTCCCTCTTCAAAGAGATCTTGTACCAAAGCCCAATATGCAATAATAATCAGGCAGTTTACTGGCCGTTTGTAAAAATATATCACATGATGTTTTAAATCTTTTGTTTCTGATATTGAATTTGGAAGTTCTAGATTTTGCTGTGCATTGTCTAATTTGTTAGCTGAGCAAAAAGGAATTCATGTGGATGGGAATAATAAATATGTTGTGTGGTTAGTTGGACCCGTGCTTTCAGTTGCTTCTCAGTGGTAGGACTAAACTTATAATAACTCATCCCTCTTTTCTGATTCCCATCCCGTGTGGCAGCCCAGCGCTTGGTCAAGACTTTGATGTCTACTGCCCCCCAGGAATACATTTCTCAGTTAGGGACTTCCCTTTCTCTGCAGTTATCGGTGCCCTTTTAACGATTTTCGGTTTTGCTGTACTCATTTCACTATAGCTTTACTACCTTTGGCCTCTAATAAACTCAAGAAGCTGTTTGTCCAGTTTGGTGTGTGGTTATTTTTTTCTCTCAACTAAGAGTTATAGTCATACTACTGTAACCTGATAAGTTTTGGGCACTATGTATGCATTTTATATGCTTAGACTGTTATAAAAACTAGCACTGTATGGGGCGAGGCTGGGACGTGGGGTTTGAGGAAGTTGGTGAAGTTTTCCAGAATAGGGTTTCTTTTTCCAGGCTCATTTTTATGAGATCAAGACAGTTTGACCTATTTATGGTCTGACAGTCCATAAATCAGAGGTCAGGGACTCGCCTACTTTTTCTAAATGGTCCATATAAGAAGTTAATAAATAGCAGTCCATTCACATGATTGGATTATCTCAAAGCTACCTAGAATCTTCATTTTCTTAGTGAATCTTTACTAAGCACCCACCATGTGCTGCTAGCCATTATTTTAATTTATAAGTACATAGTGATAAAGTAAGCATGATCCAGGCCTTATGGTATAAAAGTATTACACAATGAAGCAAATGAACATATACAGTAAACCTTGTGACAGCCCAAACAACTAAACAGAAATCTGTCAAAGAAGGAAAACAACGGTTTTCTACAACGAAGAGCAATCAAAAAGTGCTAAGGCAGGAAGCTCACAATATACAGAAAAATAAAGCATTCCATCAAGTTCCAACTCTCAAGTTTCACTTCTGTGCCCACGCTCCTACATATATGTGTGTGTTACCAGTTAGGAAGAAAATAAACAGGATTGAACAATAAGAGTAGATGCTACTTTACATAGGACAACCAGACAGTTAATGGGAAAGTGGGGCGGCAGAGTTGGGGGAGAAGGCAGCTCAGGCAGAGGGAATTGCTTATGCAAAGGCCTGAGTCTGGAAAGAGGAGTTGTTCAGTCTTGTTCAGGGCTCAAGGCTTTCAAGTCTATGGGAACAGGAATTTTCTCTTGTCTACAACAATGTATGTGAAATAGTAGGCACTCCAGAAACACTTGCGTGTGACGGAGTGAATGCGTATGCACATAGGGTTTTGTGAATACACGTTGAGGAGTAAGGCAGGAGCCAAGCTCTGTTTCAAACACAGGAGTTGAATCTTACTCGTCCTGAGATGCCAGTGAAAGGTTTTAATAAGGGAAGAGGAGATCGAATCTAACTTACATTCCTAAAAGAGCGTGCACGACTGGGTGAGTAAATTTGGTGGGAAGCAGAAATGGAATATGCTAAGCTCAGGCAGTGCAGTCGGGATGGACACAGGTGGGCCGAAAGAAACCACGGATCTGCGAGCGAAGATCAATCGATCTTAACTTCCTGCCCCTGCCAGCTCTTCAGCCACGGAGGAAAGTGACTGAGTTCTTTGTACCCTAGGAATCCCACCGTCACTGACCTCCGCTGGTGAGAAAATAGTCTGGCCAAGAATTTAATCTAGCCCTTGAAGAGAGGAATTTCAAAGTTTCATCCTGGTCTTTGTGTAGTAATCATTTTAAGGAAAATCAAGAGTGTAGATTATTCTGGAGGATAGCTGACTTGTTGGGGGTGGGGGGTTTGCACAGTGAATAGCATTAAAAGGAAAAACAAGCTGGACTGTTTTGGTTATCGGTTGCTACTTAAACTATCCTCAACTCCTTCATTATGCTCACAAGGAGCCCTGGTCACAGAGTGGATTATATGTTGGGCTGTGAGCCACAAGATCAGCAGTTCAAAACCACCAGCTGCTCCTCAGGAGAAAGATGGGCCGTTCTACCCGTCCTCCAAGGGTTGCTATGAGTCAGAATTGACTCAATGGCAGCGGGTGGTTATGCTCATGAATTCTGTGGTCCAGGATGTGGACTGGGCATGGAGATTGGCTTGCTGCTGCTTTAAAGTATCTTTGCCCTCCGCCGAGAAGACTGGAGCAGGTCGAGGGAGAAACAGCCAGAGCTGGAGGATATACTTCCAAGACGGCGTGCGTCTTCACTCACTTACTTGATGCCAGAGGTGGCAGGATGCCCCGGCAGGACCCAGCTGTGGTTGCCAGTCAGGGAGTTTACACTGACTTCTCCAGGTTCTGTGAGGAGCATCCTGAGAGCAAGCTTCACAAGAGAAGCTAACAGGACCGTATGGTCTTTCCTGCCTTGGCCAAAGATGGCACACAGCCTCACTTGACCTAACTGTATTGATTACAAGTGAGTCACAAACCAATCCAGATCACGGGGAGGGAAATTAGACTCCACCTCTTCCTGGAGGAGTTGGAAGGCCTCCCTGTACAAGAGCACATGGGTGGGAGCATGTGGGTCATTGTGGCCGTTGTTGATAAATATTTGCCCTAGAAAGTTCTAGATCATTGGTTCTCAACCTTCCTAATGCCACAACCCTTTAATGCAGTTCTTCATGTTGTGGTGACCACCCCCCAACCATAAAATTATTTTCGTTGCTGCTTCATAACTAATTTTGCTGCTGTTATGAATCCGGCAACCCCCATGAAAGGGTCGTTTGACCCACAGGTTGAGAACCACTGTTCTAGATAAAGAAGTAGAACAGGCAAATGCAACACATGAACCTTGATTTGCTTTTGGTTACAGGCAGCTGTATAAAAGGGACTTGGGAGATAATTTAAAAAATAAGTTAAAAGATTTCAGATGATCAAGAACTTACAGTTCAGTATTAAAATGTCTGCTGTTTATTTTCAGTCTGTCAGTAAATGTGGCAAATATTTCACCAAGATAGTAGATCATTTTGTAAAACTCTTTAAATGTAGTTTCACAATAACAAGTTTGGGAAGTAAAGGGATTATGTAGCTCATCGATAGGCCTGTGGGCTCAGAGATTTTACAAATTGGTTGGGGAAGGAAAGAAAGATAAAGAAGAGCAAACATGCTGTTTGATAATATCTACTGGTAATTCCAGTGACAGAGCTGCAGCCCTGAAGATTGTGAAACAAATTGGAAAATATATGGTTTTGGGCCACACATTGGCTTGGAATGTTATTGTTTCTAAGAAAGAATGCTCATCCTTAGGAGATAGGGTGTGTGTGTGTGTGTGTGTGTGTGTGTGTGTGTAAGAATGCTCATCCTTAGGAGATAGGGTGTGTGTGTGTGTGTGTGTGTGTGTGTCATTCTTTGAGGGCCCTGGAGTCACTGCCCAGTATACGTTGGACTGCCAACCATAATGTCAGTGGTTCGAACCCACCAGCCTCTCTCAGGAGGTAGGTTAAGGCTACCTGCTCTCCTAAAGATGTATGACCTTGGAAAGCCTTTTCAGAGTTGCTGTGAGTCAGTATCGACTTGATGGCAGTGGATTTGTCTCTTGTGTTTTGTCTGTCTATCTCCAGTAGTTACCCAGTAGATAAGTACAAACTGTCTGCATTACAACCTGGTGAGGAGGACCCAAAAGGGACATGCATCTTTCTCGCTGGTGGTCCCACAAAGCTTGGACACATTTCTGGCTGTGCGCAGGAGATGGATTCTGAGGTAAGTTCAGGCCTTCTTGAGGGATAGGTAATGCCTGAGATGGGGGGAAGGGATGAAAGTGGAAGGCTGAGAAACTAGACTGTAGGTACTGGGGGGTGGAGCCCAGAAGGACTTGAACAAACATTAAACCTGTGAAGTAGAGATTTAACATGCCACCTTTAATAGCTTACATGGTCTTTTCTGTACCACAGCCTCCTTGTAAAGCGGGGGTGGTGTAAAGAAAGACCTAAGACCTTAGGTCTAGCCTGCTCAGTGCCCCCGCTGACATGACTGTGAGCCGGGACCATCTTCTTGTGGCCACTCTTGGTGGGTTTCTAGTCCGTGGATCCCATCATGATGTCAGGGAGGCCATGGAGAAATTGCTGATGGGTCACTCAGGGACATTGAGACAAAACTCATTCCAACATACACTGAAAAATGCCAGTAAGCTCAGCACTCAGGCACTCTGCAGGAGAAAGATGCAGCAGTCTGCCCCCATCAATATGCATAGCTTCGGAAACCCCCGCAGCTCTGCTCAGCCTGGTACTTTCACTGTGCATCTGAGTTCAACTTCATGGCTGGGGGCTGGGGGTTGGGAAAGGTTAGAGGCTGACAGTTGCTTTATTAGATTAGCACATATGCTGTCACTTAATACAGATTTACTGCCTTGTTCCACTTTTTGTATTATTAGAAAGTTATTTCTTTTAACTGAGACAGTTCCACTCCACCCCCACTTATTCTCACCCATTGTAATTTTTTCTGACTAGAACCTCAGCAAATAAGGCTAATCCCTATTACTGGAATTTTAAGATTTAATTTCACTTGGAGCGGCTGCTGGTGCTACCATTTATGCTTTTAATATAGTGCTAGAGAAGCTGAAGAAGGGACAAGAGTTATGTTTGTCAGAGAGAGTAGGTAAGTGCATCTGGGAAGGTGAACTTTGTCTTAAGATTCGCCAGTTACTTTCATTAAAGGCGCCTGGTTAGGCTGATAAGCACAAGGTCCCTCGTTTGAAGCCCAGCTGGTGCACGGGAGAAAGACACGACAGTCTGCTTCTGTGAAGAGATGGACAAGCCTGTGGGGCAGTTTCACTCCCTCTGTCCTATAAGGTCACTGTGAACTCAAGAGGACTTGAGGCCGGTGTGGTGGGTTTGGGTTTGGAACTGTTTTAGTGAAGCAACTCAGTCGGCCCTGAATACCTGCCCCAATCTTAAAGGAACCCTGGGTTCCAGGTGTGCATGCCTCTGTTGAACTAATAGCCACAGTAATTGAAAACTAGAGTATTGCCCTATTTGTCCCTCATTCCTAAATTGTGCCCCTTGCATAACTGGGAGAGTGGTGTTATCTTCCCCTCTGAGGTCCATGGGGTCTCTCCTCACCACCTTGCCCCTGTCTGACCGGGTGTTGCCTTGTCTTGAGATAACCCCGGCTTCTGCAGCAACACCTGGCTACCTTCGCGGCTATACTCAGCCTTTCAGAGAATCTGGCCTGCACTAGCATGCCCTTTTCTCCTCTCAACTCCACTTCTCATTTACAGACACTCTCGTGGTCCAGTAATGACAGTCATAAAAAATCTGACTCTTGCTCAATAGCAACATACACCTGGCAGTAACAAATGCCAAGATGCAAGGTGAGAATAACACTGGCTACAATGGTTACGGTTATGTGGCAGCTTAACTAAGCCAAGATTCTCAGTGGTTTAGCAGTAATGTAATAATCTAGTAGTTTCTCATTTTTTTATCTTTCACATAATGCTGATTTTTTATGACTACCCAACCTCTGGAAACTAATGATGTGGTTGAGAGGACTACATGTATTCCTCCACTATTTTTCTTCATCCAGAAATGTTCTCGCTCAGTCTTAGATGAACTCTGTGCTGTTTATTATCATGCTTTTACGGTTTTTCAAAAATTCCTGCGTTATTTTAATGAGATTGTAAACTGGAGAAGAGATAAGTATGCATAATCAATTAGCCAACTTCATACATCTGATCTTACATTTTGTAAATGAGTAACTTAGTTATAATGAGAGCTTTGGCCCTGCTTTCTTCCCTTGCCAAGGGTTCTTCCATCTTGGCCAAACTGAGTGAATGGCACCATGCCTTAAGCATACTCCCCTAATTCTTAGGTTTTCAGTTCAGGCTGCTATACCAATACCTTGCTGGTATTTGAGTACTGGGTACCTTGTACTGTTGGGAGACACAGAATAACCCACAGAATGGAAGGAAAGATGGATCATAGCTTGACAGAGACACACTTCTCCGCCATGTACCCCACCAGAATTAAACTGGGGGAAAGGGGCAGTGGATTATTTAACATAGCTCTTCTAAGCAATGTCTCTCTAACTCCCATCAAAGGACTCTCTGCTGCATGGGTCTGAGTAAGAAGGTGGGGGAAGAAACTGATAGGATTCACCCGTGAGTCATTGTTAACAGGTGATAGTGTAAGGGCCATTCTGCTGGGTATAAAATGAGCCCTCTGATAGTGGGAGTAGGAAACTCATTACCAGTAGAGCTGGGAATGGATCACATCCTCTGGACCCTTCGGTTCCTGCCCAGCAAAACTTCCTGATCCAAAAAACAGCTGTGACATCTAAGAAGTGGCAACAGAACCAGGAGCCAGAGCGTAAGACAGGGGTTGACTTCAAGCCCAAAAAGCAAAAATACAACAACTGAATACTTGTGGAGTGGGGTGCCTCTGGGCACTTAATTGAGGAAGCTGGGCTTGCTGATCTACAGAGTTTGAGCTGAATGCCTTCAGGTTGAGGCTTACAATGGCTGTGAATTAGCAGCCTTGATACATTTGTACCAAGTCCTGACTGAACATCTGTATCCTGAGCCTTTCTCTCCTACATTATAACCTGTTAATTGAAAGTTCTATGTGGCCACTGTAATGAATTATAGAACCTACAGCAGCAGATCTCAACCTATGGGTCGTGACCCCTTTGGGGGGGAAGAACGACCCTTTCACAGATACCGCTCCTCTATCCTTCTCCGGGCAGGTCAGCCCACATGCAGATACGCCCACATACGAGTACCTGGAGTGAAGACTGTTACCCATGCTATATCATGCTTGAAGACAAAATTTCAATTATTTGTCATTAGAAATATTTCACAATATATAATTACATAGTTTTTGTGATTAATCACTGCTTTAATTATGTTCAATTTATAACTATGAAAATACATCCTGCATATCAGATAGCAGTAGCAAAATTACACTTATGAAGTAGCACCAAAAATAATTTTATGGTTGGGGGTCACCACAACATGAACTATATTAAAGGGTTGCGGCATTAGGAAGGTTGAGAACCGCTGACCTAGAGGAAACGGAGAGAGTATGAGGCAGAACACATGGAACAGGTCACTTTGTGGGGAAGCCTTTCAGGGGGGTGCTAAGGAAACACTACCTTGCTACAACCAGATCCTCTTGGCCTCCCCAGCACCCCTGGGCCCCAGGGATATGTCAAGAATGGGTCTTTGTGAGGTGTGCACCCCTGTGGGGGGAGGGGTGGTGCCTTGCTGACCAAACAAAGCTGAAGGCTCATCATTGCCTGGAGAGAGGTATATATGGAGAGGACAGGGCCCCTTGGGGTAGACAACTAGGAGGCTTCAACATGACCAGTGTAACCAAGAAATCACGGGGGCCTCGTGCACCTAGGAGGGCACGGACTACAAGCACCAAGAGGGGGAAGAAGAGGAAGACGCTCTCTCAGCCCAGGTCTAGAGGCAGTGGCAAGGTCAGCTCCCAGGTTCCTGTCCATGCCCTTCCTCCATTGTGTGGCACTAACCCCGCCCCAGCCTCACCTTTCTGTCCCTTCTCCTTTTCTCCCCCCAACCCAGTGACTGTTTGGATTTATCTTGTTCTGCCAGGTGTTGAAATCACAAAAGAGAGTAAAAAGATCACTTCGAGGGACTTCAAGGAAAAAATCCAGTTCTAAAGCTAAAACTGCTTCAAGAAGACAGAAGCGAGCAAGAAGAACCATCAAATTTCATCCATTACCATAGACTGAGCCCAAAGCAGCCAGGCCCGGCCGGGTGGGTGCTATGGAACTACCCCACTCCGAGATGAGACCTGTGGCTTCCTGGCTGCTGAGAAATGGCCAGGCACAGAGTGATGCTGACACTAGTGTGACATGGAAGGTGTGAAAAGCCCTTCAGAAAATAAAACGAATTAGGCGCACAAACAGCTCGTGTTTCACTCGTGTGAGATTGTCCCTTAAGATGAGAATCAGAGAGAGGTTCAGTGTTTGATCCAAAGCGAGTGCCAGCCTCCCCTCGCCCACCCCAGTCTCCCTGCGGAGCGAGGCAGCCTTCCCGGGAGGGAGGGGTGAGAAACTGGGCACCCCACACATGTTGGAACAGGGTTCCCCACCTGTGGCAGGCCAGTGAGACAGTCCGTGAGTGAACGCCAAGGGAGCAAGGCCCACGCACTTTCAAGTTCTGGTTTTACATACTTTCTTTTTGATTGAGGTTTTTCACTGTTTTATTTTGTTTTTGTTAGCTTTTTTTGTTTGTGTTTGTATGTTTTTCAATATTTGAAATTCAGGATGGGTGACTATAGCCAGGAATCAGATTATTGGTTTCTGGGAGTCATGGCAGGGGACATGACAGGGAAGTGGGGAGTAAGAGTGCCGAAAGAAAATGTAAAAGTGATTGTGGTAATGATGGTACCACTCTTCTTGATATGATCGAACTATTGAATTGTATGATATGTAGGTTGTGTCCCAATAAAACTGTTTAAAAATTAAAAAGGACTGCCCATGTGTCATCTCTAAACTCATTGCCGCCGATTGATTCCAACTCATACCGACGGGGGTAAA